AACTCCATATGTATAAGCAACATAATGTTCGGTTGTATTATCCGGTAATGGTAAAACAAAACATTCTAAGGATTAAATGGCTGTCAACATGAAATACATGTGTGCATATTGTTGCATATAATTGTGCCACCCACGTGCTCACTACTACTGTGCACACCCTACTGGCTGGCAGCATTTACAGACGTGTGTCCGTATACCCATTAGTCACTCATTTACTGATATAACCTATGCTACATTCTGCGGTATACAACATTTCGGATAACATATAGTCTGGATACCGTTGGTGAGACGTGTTTAGATTAGCAAACTCCGGCCACCAGCCAGCTGGTAAACACTGTAACTTCTCTCAAATGATGGCATCCATTTCGATTGCAAATGTCACCATAGATCACTCAAGATGGTCTGTGACGCTATCAAGTTGCATACAACGGACGTAAGCGCACCTAAATGCTGCCGTTCATTGAGTGACGAATCGGAAATCAACCGAAAGCATCCCAATCTCTGTATTCATCTGTTATGCTATCGGCTGATTCGGGATAAATTACTGGACAAACAATATGCAATTCTACGAATGGTTTCATCTGCTGGATGCAAATTGTTGTGTTAAGGATTATCTTGATAGATAAATGGACGTAGAAGGATTCCTTGAGGGGGAAGTTGAATGTGATAACGACGCATTTGATTGAAAAAAAATTTATAGTTTGCACTTGCCAGAATGTAAGCATAAGCGACTGGATGTCAACCTTGGAATGGCACGTCTAAGCCATCGTTAGCAGCTCAGAAACTTCGGAAACGAACTTTCTGTGACCATCTTAACCTATCCACAAACCGCATAACAAATTTACTCAGACGCAACCTATAAAACTACTGAGGCAAAAGCTCGACGCTGGAGATCGAGCGCATCTAGTTACGCTGCGCTTACCAGGAAATCTATCCTTACCAGACAGATTTAACCCCTTGGATGGTATTTGAGTTCCGCGGCAATATGCTTTTACGTTGCGGACAAGCTTTTCCTATTTATGACACGGAAATGAGGAGGGCGGTATTGAATTCACCTACCGTATACAGTAGTCAATTCCAGACTGCCGTTATAATGAATTCGACCTCCAGAACTTTCAAGAAACAATAACTGTTCATTGCTTATGTGTTGGTAGCAACTGTCTCGATGTGTTGGTATTTCAAACCTGACCTTTGTTGACATTACTGTGTCTACTCATTCCAGCTCATGCAAAAGTTCTGCTTCAAAAATGCTCGCTGATTCAAGTCACCCAGTCTGAGTGCAAATCAACTTCCACAACTCGACAAATGTACAGATTTATTTACGCTCCTACAAGGGCTTACCACTCATCCGTAATCCCATATGTGGCGCGCTTTTTATGCACACAGACTTCAGCCGTTATGGAGTTTAGAAGCAAAAATTACAATGTAACAATATTTCTGTCGTTGCTGCTTATTACATTTTTTGTATGCTGTTTAAAATGCTGTAGGCGTGTGTGTGTGTGTGTGTGTGTGTAAAAGCTGAATTTCCCACCCGCGTTCATAAAGCTTTCTTGAATTGAAGTGAATGGAAACGATAAAGCCAGGGAACATCTGCTTGCAAAAGATGAATATAAAGATACTTGGAAAACAACAGGTACGGTGGTCAGAAACAGTGGAAATGTCGTGAAACAACTGAATCCCTGTCGAGCCGATACTTTTTCAAATGCACGCCACGCGATCAGTTCTTGACTCTTACCCATTAACATACACTATTTCACAAGCTACTGATGCAGTGAAAAGTATGAAAAAGTTATTGCTTGTAAGCACAGACAGTCTACTTACTATAAATATGACTAGATCGGACCTAATGCAGGTGTATACAGATTGGCTGTGCTCCAACGACCAACACCTCACCTTGTGCATTTTCGCTTCTGTTTTCGCCAACCGACAACAGCCCCCTGATGCTCGTAGCTCACCTGGTTAGTTCTCTGAACCATATGGTCATTCTTACGTCATACAGTTTATTGTACCGAAAGTGCCGTAGCATAGGGATGAGTGGAGGCGGTGCGCCCCGAGCGGTAGGTGACAGTGGCGGCATTTTTTGCACCATAGATTGTCCAATACCACATTATCCTGATAAGCTGTGGGTCGATTGCTATTATGTTACTCTTCATGAGCAAGACCATGTTCGCGCCACGGGTCCCACTTGTGCAAACGTTCTTCCCAGCAATCTCCTCACTTGTCTCATTGTGGTCACTTTGACCACATTCACTTCAGTGTCCCAAACGATCATTCGTTTCTTCGAAAACTAATTTGGACTTTGCCCTGAGCCGATTGTGTGACCTTATCGCGGCTATTCTGCCCACAGCCATGGCGAAAATTTGGTCACCGCCCCGGATGACAAAATTCTTTGCTACGCCACTGGGTACATCCCTATGATGACGCACAGAAATGTGTCATTACATTACATATTTTGATGACACTTTGTAGACCAAGGTCTCGTTTCGTTTACAGGTTGCCTCGAGTAAGGTTTACTAAGTCTATTAGAGAGCAATTAGTAAACGTTCACAAAAGACAAGTCAGCATTTTTCATCACGGCTTACGTGTCCACGGTTACAAATAAATTTTGGCTCATACTTTAAGTATTATGTGTTTATTTTAATACTGCATAGCCCACTGTAGCTAGGAAATATCCTTTTTGTATGAGCCCGCAGTCCGCTGAACCACCAATTACCATAGATGTACGCGTTTACGATGATCAGTTTTTTTACTGGTGACCTTATCTCCTACACCAGATTAAATAACACTCAGCGATAGTCTGGTCCACTGTAAATTTTCGTGGAATCACATTCGCCCAACTCGACCTCACTAAGTACCAGTCGTCTCACTTCAGAAACCAGACGTACCTGAGACTAAGTCCGTAACTACTCGAACTATGTCTAGCAATACTTGTGCACGGCATGATTTGGTAGGGTACCCCTCCAAATAACTGAGTGCGTCCATTGGCCTGACCCGGAACTTGGCGTGCTGAGGCAAA